CCAACAGAGCCCTCTTATCCGGTTAGTGATGGTTAAAAAATACTGACTCCAAGCGACAAACAAAACGAAAGGATAAAGGCTCTGGAGAACCCAGGAGGTGGGGGAGGCCCCCTCTCAGTGTTCTTTTCTTCTAGAGCTAATGAGACACCAAGGGGTGGCTCTGCCTTGAAGCCAGGCAGACGTGGGGCTGAGCATCTTTGTTCCTGCTTCTATCATTCTCTGCTTTTGTGGCTCCCAGGTCCCTTGGCTGTTCTGTGGGAAGGGACTGTGGTGGTCCCTATTGAAGGCAGCTGCCCTAAAAGAGAACTGTGGTCAGTGGTTAGCCCCATCAATATTCCAGACCACCTGGAGGATACTGGGCAGTGGACAAGATTTACAAGAGGTTGCTTCTTGGGGAGGGAGATTCATTCAAGAGACATTTATCAAATTCTTATTTTAACCTCTGCTAAGCTTGGGGAGAGGGCGGTGGTGGTTTTAGATATACTCAGAAAGAAAAAATTCAAAAACAATGAGCTGGACAGGAGAGCATAAATGCATCTCTCTCTCCCTTTCTGCTTGTGGTTATAATTATTGGGGAAAGGAAGCCCTGTCTAAGAATTTGATCTGGCTCAAAGAACAGGTGAACTACAATTTCATAGTTGTGTATTCTTTGTGAAGTTGAGAGGGAAGATTAGGGAAAGGTGTTTGCTGTTTCTAGAGGGCTGTTCTAGGATACAGCACCCCTGTTTTTATAGAGCTTGTAGCTCACTGGTGGAGATGCACATGCACAGTACGCGAACAACAAACTACAGACACACACACACACACTTAAAGTACTGATCATTTCAAGGGAGAAAAATGAAGTAGGGTAAAGGTTGGAGGATATTTTAGGTAAGGTGGCTAGAGGAGACTCTCTGAGGATGTGATATTTGAGAGAGTGAAGGAAGTGAGGGGTTTGGCCATGTGGAGTCTGGGCAGAGGCAACAGGAATTACGAAGGCCCTGAGGGATGAATGACTAGCACCTAGCTCGGTAAATACCATGAGTGAGGTAAACAGTGCAATGGTCAGGCGGTCACCTTGGCCAGGAGACCAAGGAGGAGTCCGTGGAGGTGGTGGCATGTAGACTAGCCTTGTAGGATTCACAGGATTTCCACAGGCTAGATTCTAAGCAACCCAAGGGAAGAATAGGGCCTGATATGTGCAGGGCCTTACACGAGAGAGATGTTCAAGAGTATTTATGGGATAACTGAACAGGTGGAGACGAGGAAGGCATGGCAGCCAGAGGGAATGTTGTGAATAAAGACGTAGAAATGGGAATGTGTGGGTCATATTCAGGGAATGGTAGAGTTTGGTTGGAATGCTGGTTGTGAAAAAGGCCTGATAATGTCACACCATGAAAAATGGTAGTTGAGGGCCTGTTAAAAGCAAATGCACTAAATTCTGAAGCTTGGACTTTATTTTGTAGGCAAGTAGGAATCATGGAGGGTTTTTGAATAGTGGACGTGCACACGCCCCAACACAGCATGCATTAAGAAGAGCGGGCTGGATGATTGGGAGAGAGAATGGAAGTGGAAAGCTGTTATATTTCCTCCAGTGACAACACGGATTTGAGCTTGCATTGTGTTTCTGGTACTACAAAGGTGAAACTGCACAAATCAAATTGCTAGGATTTTGTGAGTGATTAGATGTGGGAAGGGAAGAGAGAGGTGGAGTCAAGGATACTCGATGTCTCAAGTCTGATTGATGGGAAGATTGTGGTATTATTGATAGGGAAATAGAAGGAGAAATGATATTGGTTTAGTCAGTTTGGGTTGCTATAAAAAGATACCACAAATTGGTTGGCTTATAAACAACAGAAATTTATTTCTCACATTTCTGGAGGCTGGAAGTCCAAGATCAAGATGCCAGCATGGTCAGGATGTGGTGATAACCCTCTGCTAGGTTGCAGACTACCAGCTTCTCATTGTATCCTCACATGGTGGAAAGAGGGCAGGAACAAGAGCAGGGAGATCTTTGGGGCCCTTTTTATTTATTTATTAATTATTTTTTTTGGTGAGGAAGATGGGCCCTGAGCTAACATCTATTGCCAGTCCTCCTCTTTTTGCTTGAGGAAGATTGTCACTGAGCTAACATCTGTGCCAATCTTCCTCTGTTTTGTGTGTGGGATGTCACCCCAACATGGCTTGAGGAGTGGTGTGTAGGTCTGCACCCGGGATCCGAACCTGTGAACCCCAGGCCGCCAAAGTGGAGCACGTGAACTTAATCACTAGGCCACTGGGCCAGCCCCTTTAGGGTCCTTTGTATACGGGCACTAATCCCAATCATGAAGGCTCCACCCTCGTGACCTAATTACCTGCCAAGGCCCCGCCTCCTAATACCATCACATTAGGGGTTAGGGCTTCAACATATGAATTTTAGGGAGACAATGGTCAGTCCACAGCAGATAGGAATGATTTTGAGGTGGCAATAGTACATCCAGATCTTTGATGTTTAGCTAATTGCTAGGCAGGGAGGATGCCCAGAGAAAAAATTGGGACTGCAAAGGGAAGTTTGGAGTCTCTACATGGAGGAAATATGGGTATTTGGAGCTGATGAAGTAAGCGTTTTAGGAACTGAGAAGAGAAAAGAGACCAGGATAGAAATGTAGGGATGCTCACAGTTAGGGATTAGAAAGAAGGAGAACCTGGGAGAGAGTCAGAGTTGCAGCAGAAAGAGCAGAAGTGTCCACTGCCAGCGATGCCAAGGATTTGGAGTTTCAAAGGGGAGGTGGTCCATGGTGTCAGGTGCTGTAGCCTACAGTCATGCATTTTGGCAATTAGGAGTTGCAGCAGACTTTCGGGAGATGTATCAGTGGATTATTAGCTGTGTAGCTGGGACCTTACTCAAGGGGAACCAGCCTACCCTCATTCAAGGGGCTCTGGGTTGTTGAGCTAGTTCAAATCTAGGAAATGGTTGAGGGGCCGCAACTCTCATTGTCATGATTCAAGTCAGACTTCTCACCATCAGATCTGGTAGGTTGTATGTCTATTTCAGTTCTACAGGTACCAAGGTCAACTAGTCAAGGCCAAATATTTGATGGTTCAAACCATTCTGATTACTGCTTTGGCTCTCCTGCCCAATATGGTAACCTGGCCTCTGCGTTTAGGCCCCCACCACTCCAGGACCCTTATCCCCAGTGAATTCAGTAGTTTGATGGCAGCAGTTCCCGTCGTCATTCCTGGCTTGCAGAGAAGAGCCATGACAGAGCTCTTCAAGGAGGCCAGGCCTTTCCTAATTAGATCATTTCTCACAGCCTTGCTGAAAGGAGAGCTCAAACCCTCCTGGTAGCCACAGTTGGAGAGGGGTAGACCAAGTCTTATAGAATGAGTCCACTCCACAGCCTTGAACCTTCATAGCCTCTGGATATCTTTTAAAGTTTACTAAGGAAGTTCTGGCACTTCAGCTTCATTCCATATAGGCCACTTTTGTTTCTACATTTCAGGAAACGAATGACACAAACCGTCAGAGCTACTCCCAGGTGCTCAAGTTAGCACAGTGAATCCAGAATCTCTGCTTAGGGCACCCTATCAACGAATTTGATCTGATCCAGTAATGTCCTTCCATCCTGATCCAATACCTGTAGGATTCCTTCTTCAATGCTTTCCCCAGGATACTGTTAATAAAAGTTCACAAACTCTGTCAGTTCTTTTGGTGTATAAGGCACCTTTTCACGGGTCACACTTTGTCCGTTAGCTCCTGAGGCCTGTCAGGACTTGAGTCTGCTCCTAGGTCTAGAAGCAGTGAGAGGTGTATGGGTAGGTCCTGGGAGAGTCAGCAATTCACGATGGCCTCAGTGGAGACTATGTAGCTCCTCAGGCACAGAAAGAGCCCAGAAAGAGAAAACTCAGACAAGAAGGATGGGCTGCTTCCGCTGACAAATAAGGTTTGGCAGAAACTATCTCAAGTTTTCAGGACCCTAATCAATGCCCTCATCTTCTTTTCTTTTCTTTTTTATGTTACTTTTCCTTATTTATTTTCTCCTTCTAAAGACACTACAAGTACACTACCATTGTGTGTTTCTATGTGTGTGTCGGCAGGAAAGTGAGGGGTGAGATTCATGATGTAAAAAAAGGTTCCTCCAATTCAAAAAGTTTGAGAATCATAGTTCGAAGAGGGACTCATTTGATGGAGCAGTTTTTTGATTTTGTTTTAAAAAATTTTTTGTTTTGGTAAAATACACGTAACAATTTTAGTATAATTAAACGTAAGAGATTTTATGATTTTAACATAAGATCCTGTGAGGTTGTGAATTCGATTTGCTTTGTGATTCAGCACTCCTTAAGACTGGGCTTGGGTTTTGTTTGTTTGTTGTTGTTTTCAAAAATCTTGGCTAGAGGAGACCAGAGCTCCTTTATGGCAGTCCTGGAAGTTTTGTGGTCCTTTCCCCAGACTTCAAACAGGGAATTAGAGGCCCCGGATTTATCATTTTCTTTTGCTAAGTTCTCTAGTACTCTTAAAAGCAACCAACTCCATTGTACTCTCTATTGGCACCAAAATCTATTATGGGAGCAATTACTTGATCATGCAAAGCCTTGTCTTCAAGACACTTGATAACAGGTGTTACAGGTGAATATTTTGTGAATATTTTGCCATTGCATGCTACAGGCTACCAGTGTCCCCTTTGCCACTGGTGACAAAGCCATTGATGCCTTTAGGTCTAATCAGATCAGAGAACCAGTTCTACATAAACCAGTTCCAAGTCAAAGAGCCCATCTTTAAGGTTCTATGCCCCTGGAACCACTTCCAGTATCGTTATCTACACCAAATAGGGTTCGATCAGAGAAGCAGAAGCGCTGTGAGTGGCACGCATATGGGATTTCTTACAGTGGTTGGACTGTATGGAGACGTCTATGGAAGCCCGTTGCCTCTGTGTCTGGTGGGGGCCAGAAGTTGGGAAGAAAAACTGTATGCGAGCAGGAGGAATCAAGGACAAACTGGACCCTACATCTATCTCTCACCACCTCCAACTTTGTTGACACAGGTGACCTGCAGAAGCTGTGATCTCTTGCCATGGAGCTGCACATGCGGTTGGTACAGGACTCAGAGAAGCTAAAGGAGAAGATCCTGCAGGAGGAGGAGCTGTGGGCCCAACTGTACCCCATGTCAACACACTGAGCCAGCAGGTCCTGAGCCCTCCACCAAACTCCATCAGAGAGTAAGCCTACTGCTTCATGCCCACTCTACAAATCTCATGCAGATTTCTCTGAGTGGCCGGCCCTCTCCTGGAACCACACAGGTTAGGAAACTCTGGGACTTGTAGCTCAATGTGGCGATGTTGTCACATTACAAAATACCCACAGGAGAGAAGTTTATTAGGGTGGGAACTTTGCAATATGCTTAAGAGTGAGTGGGAGGTGAGGAATTAGACAGTGACTGTAGTCCTTGTGTTCACAGTGTGCAGACACAGAAGGGAGAGCTGGAGTGGGTGTTTCCCAAATTTGCCCAGTCACACAGATTCCTGTGCCTTGTCTCAGACCTGCTGGGTGAATACCTAGGGGAAAGTGCCTGGGAAGCTATATAATTAACAAGGGCCAGGTGACTTTTATGGCTGAGCAAATTTCGTAAACCTTGTTACAAAGAGGAGCATGGGTGAAAGGAAGGTTGTAAATTTTTCATCCACTAATTTATTGTATTTAGTAAGGTGAGAAGGTAGCACGGGTTTGTGAGCAGAATGGAAGAGGGTGAAAGCAGGACAGATGAAGGTGCAAGAGGGAAAAATTGTCGAATCCAGGTATTTGAGGAGGTAGGAGAGTTTAGCTTTGAAAAAGAGGAAAAACATCTCTTTTGATAAAGTGGAAGGAAAAACCAAAAGGAGGGAGATGTGTTGAACTGTTGAGGTGAAGAGGGAAGGAGTGACGGAGGTCCATGTGGGAGGGTGGTGGACCGGATTCAGACCAGAGGGATGAGACTGGAGTCACCGAGCGACTGACAAAGATGGAAGAGTGGGACTGAGTTTGCCTTCATGGACCCAGCCTGGGTCAGTTCTCACTGTCTGCAGTGGGCTCCAATTGGTTCACAAGTCTATGGACTATCCTGGATGTTGGGTCTTAGTACAATTTTAGGAGACATTTCCTAGCCTTAGCACATATTTTATTTTTCTAATAGAGATTTCACTAACTTCTCACACAAGTCTAATTTCTTTTCATATTCCACACCTTTTGGCATGTGCTAAACAAGAAAGAATAGACAATTGAGGACATCCTCACTCTACCATCTTGGTAGGGCTGGTGGAGTTCAACCAAGCTGGATTTTAGTATTTGGGTTTAGAAGGCTATTAAGCTTCTCTGGCTGTTTCTAGAGGCATGGCATTTAGTGGCCAGTGAGCATGGTAGTTAGGGATGTGGACCCTGGGGTCCGATCAGCTGGGTGCAAATCCCAGCTCTGATATTGCTGGCTGGGTTACCTCGGGTAAGCTTTCACTCCAAGCCTCTGTTTCCTCATCTGTAAGTGGGGTGGAATAGCACTTAAGCCAGAGGGGCGCTCCGAGAAGGGAAGGAGGCGTAAACTCATAGCACAGTGCCTGGCATGCAGCAGGTGTGCAACGATTATTAGCCATTGCTGCCAGATTATTTGATGGATGGTCAAGGGAAATTTGTGAAACAGCTGAGTCTGGATCTGGTTTTAAAACACATCCATTTGGGGTCTAGTAAGGAAGTTTCCTGGTAGATCTGGAATCTTGTAGTTTCCCTTCCAATACCCAGAATTCTCCTTGGGCAGGACTGTCTTTAATCATATAGGTGCTCCCTCTCCTGCTGTCTGGTTTTGCCTCGGTATATGTTCTATTGTTTCCCATCACACAGGGCAGAACTTGGAGCCAGTTAGCATAAGCATCTCCTGCCACCGGAAGCACGACCTAGGAGAGCGCCTCTCTTCCCTCGGCCCCTGTGAGCCAGGCCCTGCCTCCTCGCACAGCTCCCTCTCCCACTCCTGCCTGTTCAGGTCTGTTCCATGTTTAGAGTTTTCAAAAAATGGATCTGGGAGAACAGGCAAACGCAAGTGACCTTGGTTGGGCGTCCTGCGTCTGGAGTATACAGCGCCCTCTAGAGGACGAAGGCTGCGGCGGCCTCCCAGTTAACTGTTCATTCCTATGGCGCTTATCAACGTGTCATCATTCTCTGTGATGGGAAACAAAAGGGGGACCTGGCCAGATGGGTAGAAAGAAGATGAGGGGATAATTTATCTTAGCCTCCTTGTCTCCCAAAGCCAAGACTCTGTTCCTGGGCTCCTAGAAGGGAGAGGGGTTAGCGTGACAATTCCTGGCAGCTCATGTATATGGAACCGCATGGATATTCACACCACAACTCACCTGTGTGATGGAGATAACGGAATTTTATTAGTTTGGAATTAATTTGGAATTAATGATTTGTCTTCGTGATGAGTCTTCTTTTTCCTTTTTTTTCTGGGGGACAGGGAGGCTGTGAGGAATATGTTATGCATTGTAAGGCTGTCTACCCTCTGCTGAATTGAAGAAGAAAAACTTAGAAACCCAGCCTTGTATGAGTTCCCTTCTCCCAGAGGCCAGGGACATCCACATCTGTAGTGCTTTTGATTAGATCTGCTTTTTGCCCATGGCGGTTATCCATAAAAACACTCTTTTCCTATATATATCATTCGAGCCTCAATACATGGTACAGTTGCTTCTTTCTTTCCTTTTTTTTCAACAAAGCCAAACAGGGTGGTGTTTTTCCTTAGCAAAATCCCCCTCCTTTTTGGCTCTATGCCTGGCTCTTCCCAAGGTGCTTGGAAAGAAAGGAAAAAACTCAGAATCATTTCCTTTTGTTCTTGACTGATTCATGGGTGGAGGGAGAAAGGAGTGGGTTTCAGCTTGAAACATAGAATGATGTTCAAACAGTTTTAAAAAATGGCCTTCATTAATCCTCATTGTGTGGCACTCCCCCTTGAATTGCAGGCTTTTTGAGTTTTTTCCTTTTTCTTGTTTATCCATCTTTGAATGCCCAGCATCTAGCACAGTTCCTGGCACATAGTGGGTGTCTGGTGAGTGTAGAATGTTGAGATGCTAGGTCCCATTGTAGGCCATAGGGGCAATCCCTTGTAAGCTAAGTACTTATTAATATATACATAGATGAAACACAACATTTGTGACTACACTTCTCTACCACAAAAGCTTTGTTCGTGGTGTGCTGTGGCGTAAATCAGTCTTAACTTTGCACAACCCTAAACAAGAGTTATGTAGGAGCAGGAAAATCAAACCTGTGCTTTCTTAATTATAGCATTGGTTGGAAAGCAATTATTGACCTGTAACATCTCGTTATTTGTCTTTCTGTCTATCCATATATCCATGTGTCTGATGAAGTCAAGAGGTCAGATAAGAACAGAGGCAGAAATATGGTCTTTCTAATGTAACTGATAAGAATCTGAACTGGCGTGAATCTCTGTGACTGGGGTCCATTCCCAGCAGCAGATAGAACCAAACCCCCAGCCCCAGGAGGAAGACCCTTCAGCAAGATGGCTTTGCTAATATCATTATGTGCAAAAAGGGATACGCTTTTACAAGTGTATTTTACGAAGCTGAAAATAAAAGGCAAAAAAAAAAAAAAAAAAAGGCTGGGAAAAACGAGTACTGTCTTACACGTTTCTTAAAAGGAAAATTCATTCTGTTCTCCCTACCAGTGCGGACTTGCTGCCTTAGAGGAAAAGCCCGTTAAAAGAACGTATTTGTGTGTGGAACAAGGTCATGCACTTATTGGCTTTCTGCTGCACGGCATCAATATCCCAGACAAGGAGAATCCGTTTGCTTTCACCATAGCCTTGTACCGCGCACAAGGGCTGCAGCAAAATATATATTCTCCAATGCTGCCAGCACCAAAGCACAGAGGAACCCAGAGGCAGGGACTTCAAAATGAGGGGAGAATAGCTGAGTGTTTGTTGTAAGAAATAAATATGTTACCTGGAAACATCATTACACTCTGAGTAGTCTGGTGTGTTGGTGTGGAGGGATGGGGAGGGGTTGTGATGCCCAAGTCTCTCCGAAGCTATTTCATAGACAGATGACTTCCCAAATATTTCTCTAATTCTCCCTTGTCTTCTGCACCACTCTCCCCAACCGCTGTAGCCTGACTAATATTATTAATCGCCTTCATGCTGCTCTTACGACTCCTCTTACTAATACGGTAACACTTCATTTATCCAGCATCATCAGGGATGGGCTGTTCCACATAACTACATTTTCCAGCTGACTAAACTCCGCTTCTCTGAGCACCCAAATTTAGTCTGTTTTCATCAGTTTGAATAGCAGTCTTTCTAAAATGTTTTCATCACCTGTTTTCTCGAATAGCTTCCATGAACATGATCTAAGCTTGTCCTAGTGATTTGGGGGCATTTTTATGTATACTGGTTACACTGTGCTATAAAATAGGGCTCCCTCTGAGGCCACCATGCTCCCTAGGACTACTTGGCTATGCTGGATGCCTCTGGACTGCTGCTCATTCTGAATTAGTGCAATTACTTTACTTTTCTCGACATAGCTTCCTTATCTGCAAAAGAGAGATAACTGTGTCTACCTTGTTGGGCTGATGTGAGAATTAAGTGAAATAATGTATGTGGATCTTAGCGCGGTGCGTGGCACATGGAATGTGTTCAAGAAATGTTAGCCATTCTTACTTTAAGTGAGGAATTACTGTAGTCATAGCCGCCAGCACAATACTGCAATGAAGATGAAATTGGCACGGGTGCATTGAAGACTTTGAAGACTTTTAGAAATACTCACTCCGACACAGTTTAATGAAGTTTACTCATTTCCTGGTAGTGCCATCCTGGCTGATCAGGGTAAGGTATAAATCCATGGAAGCATGGGAGTAAGACAGCCTCTTTTCCCTCCAGAACCTTGCCTCAAACCCTTGTCCGTTGTCTTTTGTCACTTCAAGCTGATGCTCCTCAGGAAATCCTCCTTCCTTTATTTGACCCGACTTGCATTTGACCCAATCTGCATTAGCGTCCCCTCAGTCCCATGCACTCAGTTTGTTCTGTGGCCATTCCATTTGTAAATAGGTTGCTTTGTCAGGTGTTCTTGGAGGCGAACGTGGGCTCAGATCTATAGGCTTAATCGAGTCAAGGCATCTAAAAGCCCATCCAGCATCTTTCTGGACATACTGGTCTGGGATGCATATGATGGGAAAGAAGAGGACAGTTCTGCAAATTACCTATATGGGAGGGAAAGGCAGAGTCTAACACACACAAGGGGCTCCACGGCAGTGGAAGTCGAGTGGGCGCCATGGCTCCATGGAACCAGCCATCTCCATCAACGTTTGGAGACTATCCTCGGAACGAGGTGGTTGGTGGCACGGAGGGTGAGTTGGTGGACAGGGCCTTGGCGGGGCTGCACCTCCACTGAGTAGGTACCATGGTAGGCTGTTCTTGGGTACCACCCATCTCTGCGCTCCTGGAGGAGATCATCTTGGGTGTTTCTCAGCCCTGCACTCATCTGCCATGTGCCTCCTTGGCCCTCGTAGAGCTGCATCCTTTCACTTAAGGCCACTCCTAGCTCCTGAGCCATTTCTCCGAACTGACTATTTAGCCTGACGCACAATTGGTGGTTAAAACGGACTCTATCCAGAAGTGAAGCTCAGTTTCTTAACTTCCAACTAGAAGCTGCATTTAGTCATCCCTGGAGCCTCTTTACATTCCATTGGCTCTGCCAACAGCCGGGAGCAGAGGTCTGGCGTTGTTTCCAGCATGCCCCCCTGGGCTCCTCCCACTAACTGCCCTTTCTGTGCTGAGAGATGTCCTTGTTCTGCAGAGCAGAGGTGATGGCACACAGCAGCCCAGTGCATGAGTTCTCCCGCAGGATTCCTCTTCACGTCTCTCAGGGAGGCGGCCTTCCTGGGGTCATATCACTCCCGCTCTGCAATAGGAAAATAACCGCAAGAATAACAATTTTAACTAACAATAAGAAAAGGGCTTTCTTTCACATGCTATTTTACATAATAAATGTGTTTCTGAAAAGTATATAATTGCAATGGTGTAAATAAAATCGTGTTTAAAGGGAGCTAGGCCAGTTGTTCAGATGGCTGCCTACCTGGAAGTCTTGATGCTCTTCCAAAAAAAAAACTCGCGATAGGGAGACATATCCTGCAATAGCATGTGAGCCAGGGACAACTTTCCCAGCAGGAGGTATGACTATGCCGCATAAGTACAATATAAAATCATAAGCATAAAATCCTCGAAAAAGATCAGGCTGTCAAATGTGACACGATTGGTTCTTTCTGAGTATTTTCTTTAATAATTTTTAGTACGTAGTTATTTGCTTTGTCGTCAACTCTCCCTCAAGAGCAGGTTATTGGTACAAGCACCCGACATCTAAGAGAAATATCTGAGAGACAGAATTAAAATGGTTAAAATTATATTGACCTGTCTAAGTGTTTTTCTATGCATTGGGAATTCTGCCATTAATTTTTTGTTTTTTCAGTTTTAGTGGCCAAACAGTTTTGTTCAATTTATGGGCAGTGCTGTGTGGCACGTTGTTTTGGAAATTTCTCACTGCCGAGAATCTTTTTGTAGACTGAAAATTAATTTTGTAATGCAAATCATAACCTCTGGTTTTTTCAGTTTTGTAAGTTTGAACATGTGTTTGTGTGTGTGTGTGTGTGTGTGTGTGTGTATGCTTCTCCCTTAATTCATAACATTGGAGAGATAGTTACTTATAAAGTAACCCCCAACCTCTGGGTATAGTTCAATTTATTAGTTACACGGTAGAATACCAGTTGAAGAGACATCATATAATGCAGTACAGTGTGTGTCCCAAAAAGCTACTAACTACCCAGATTAGCAACTTCTGGGGTGTTTTATGAAAAAAGCAGATTCTTAGAGCATACCTCAGGACTGCTGAGTCAGAATGTTTGGGGTAGGGCCAGAATCTGCATTTTAAGCAACATTTCATGGAATTCGTACACGTATCGGCCTTGGAGAACTACTGGGATGGCGTCTGAGAGGGCAGCCTCTGAGGTCAAACTCCGCCTCTGCCACTGATTTGGCCTGTGGCCGGTTACTCAAGCCTTGGTTTCCACTCTGTAAAATCAAGAATGTAGGCATATCTACCTCCCAGGATTGCTGTGGGGATGAACTGACATCACGTATGAAAATCACGTACGCAGAGTGTTTGGCTCAAAACAAGGGCTTAATAAATGGTAGATGTTACTTATGGCCTAGACTATCATTCTTAATGATTTGACTAAGACATCTTTCACTTACGCAAACATTTTGGGGCTCACATGTAACTTGCACTACTTAGCGCACCATGTACACTATAAATATGTATACTGTTAGCTGCGTATATAGTGGTCCAGGCTACGGTAAGACGGACCTTCGAGGAACAATTCAATTGGGATGTTCTGCATTGGTCCATAGTGGCTGAGTAGGTACAAATGGGTTCATGAGAATAGGGTTCTTTTTTAAAAATTATTTTATTGAGGTGATATTCGCTTACAACATTGTGTAAATTTCAGCTGTACATTATTGTATGTCAGTTTCTGTATAGTCTGCATCGTGTTCACCACCAACAGTCTAGTTTTTATCTGTCACTGTACACATGTGCCCCTTTACCTGTTTTGCCCTCCCCCACCCCCTTCCCCTCTAGTAACCACCAATCTGTTCACCTTATCTTTGTGTTTGTTTGTTTGTTTATCTTCCACATATGAGTGAAATCATGCAGTATTTGTCTTTTTCTGTCTGACTTATTTCGCTCAACATAATACCCTCAGGGTTCTTCTATGTTGTTGCAAATGGCATAATTTTTTTTTTAATGGCTGAGTAGTATTCCGTTGTGTGTATGTGTATATATATATATACACCACATCTTCTTTATCCATTCATCCATTGATGGGCATTTGGGTTGCTTCTGCATCTTGGTTATTGTGAATAATTCTGTGATGAACATAGGGGTGCATATATCTTTTTGAGTTCTTGCTTCACATTCTTTGGATAAATACCCAGAAGTGGAATAGCTGGATCAAATGGCATTACTCTTTTAAATTTTTTGAGAAATCCCCATATTGTTTTCCATAGTGGCCGCACCAGTTTACATTCCCAGCAGCAATGTATGAGGGTCCCTTTTTCTCCACATCCTTTCCAACACTTATTATTTCTTGTCTTGTTAATTATAGCCAGAAAATATGGTTCTTGGTGTGTCTCTGATGACCAGATCTAGATGTTGGGTTGAGCCCCCACAGTGGGGGGCCCTACTTGGCAAAGGATTGCAGTGGGCTTGTTCTTGTGGTGTTTGGTTCTGTAAACAGAAAGTGTCAATGATAGGTAGCCTCAAAGGGAGAGGAGAGTGAAATATTGTGAGTAAGTAGCTGGCAGGTAAGGGTGGTAGATGTTGATAATGTCCCTCCCTCCCTCTCCGCCCTTTCTTCTTACCAAATCTCTACATCCCCTCTCTCTAATAAAAATAAGACACAATTTTTACAGAAAGGGATAAACTCTTCCCCCTTTAAAATATTCCTGAGGTGCTTTTCTTAGATATTCATTGCTTTAATCTTTACATGGATCATGTATTCCCTGGCATTTTTAAAAGGGAAATTTGCCCTTGATTCTAAATATTCCGTTCATGTTCAAGAACGGGCTAAACATTTGCCACAGTTACCACCTCTTCTTGCTTGATGTGATTTTTACATTGACTTCCCCTCAAAACCACGTCATTTTCTGCCACTTCTCGTAAGGCAGTCAAGCTGGTAATTATATTTTGATACTATTTACCAACCACCAGATAGATGCCCTGACAAATGATTACCGAAAATAGAAACCAAGAATAGGAAGTCACTGTCTTTCACTCTCAGGCTCTTTAGACCAGTGGCCTCCAAACGTTTTTTTGATTCTGTGCCTCTATTAGAAAGAATGTGTGAGCACACGATGTTCACATATGTGATATTCAGACATATGTACACACACACTTATACATAATTATCTTGTGCATGTCGTGAAACAAACACAAAAATGCAAACTAAAGGGAGGAGAAATATGAAATAAACAACATTTTAAGCATAAATTTATTTTATCTTATTTTAATGGTTGTGATGGTTAATTTTATGTGTGAACTTGACAAAAACATGGAGTGCCCAGTTATCTTGTTAAACGTTATTTTAGGTGTGTCTGTTTCTGGATGAGATTAACATTCGAAGTGGGTGGGGGAAAAGAGAGACGTTGGTAAAAGGGCACAAACTTTCAGTTATAAGATGAACAAGGTCTGAGAATATAATTTATAACATGGTGACTACCGTTGATAATGTTGTACTGTGTAATTGAAACTTGCTGAGAGTAGAATTTAAATGTTTTCACCAAAAAAAGGAGAAAGAAAGGTAAATATGTGAGATGATGTGTGTGTTAATGAACTCGGTGGAGAGGATCCATTTCCTTTCACATTATATATTGTATAATCCTTTCACAATAATCAAATCATGTTGTACACTTTAAATATCTTACAATTTTATTTGTCAATTCTGGTTCAAAGCTGAAAAAACAAAAACCAGAAACATTTGAATTGGTAGACTGAGTAAAGGGAATTGCCCTCCCCAGTGTGGGTGGGCCTCATCAAAATAGTCGGCAGCCTGACTAGAACCAAAGGTGGAATAAGGGAGAGTTTGCTGTCCCTGCCTGACCAATTGGGCTGTGACGTTGGTCTTCTCCTGCCCTCAGACTGGAATTTATCCATTGACTCTTCAAGCTCTCAGGCCTTTAGACTTGAACTGGTGCTTAGATCACTGGCTTTCCTGGGTCTCCCGCTTGTAGATGGCAGATCTGGGAACTTCACAGCCCCCATAATCACGTGAGCAAATTCCTTAATGCTTCTGTTTCTCTGGAGAACCCAAACTGATAGAATGGTATAAGTCGTTTTTGCTGTCATTAAAATATCTCAAAACACAAAAAAATCGTTGGTGTAAAGTTCATTGGCCTTTGAGGAGTCTCTTTTGCACCTGGACCTGATATAAACGAGGAGATTGCAGATTTTGAGCTGAGGATGTGATAAGATGAGGCTTTGGGGGCACTTGAGAGGGAGCAAGTAGCGTATTTTGCAGGTAGGAGGGATGTAAATCACTAGGGGTCAGAGGGTGGACTATGGTAGCCAGCCTCCATGGTGGCACCCAGTGACCCTGGCCTCCTGGTATTCAAACTTGTTCAGTCCCCTCCCACAGTACATCAGCGTTGGTTTATGTGACCAACAGAGTATGATGGAGGTGATGGTGTGTGACTTTTGAGGCTAGGCCATAAAGGATTCTGCCACTTTTGCTTTGCTCTCTAGGATCACTCACTCTGGGGGCAGCCAAGTGCCATGTTGGGAGGAAACTCAAACAGCCTAATAGAGAGGTCCACATGGTGAGGAAATGAGCCCTCTTTCCAAGAGCCAGCACGAACTTGCCAGCCAAGTGTGAGCCATCCAGGAAGCAGCTCCTCCAGCCCTGGCCAAACCTTCAGATGACTGTAGCCCCAGCAACATCTTGACTACAACCTCGTGTGACACCCTAAGCCAGAGTCACCGAGATAAACTGACCAATAGAAACTGTGTGAATTGATGAATGTTTGTCATTGTTCTACATTCCCAAGTTTTGGAGTGATTTGTTACACAGCAATAGGTAACTAATACAGATTTGAATGTTTTTGTGGATTGTTCTTCAGATATGATTAACTTTTCATTGTTTTTGTCTTATATGTGACTAACAAATGTTCATACTAGGAGTTGGAGGATTGTTGGTTCTGCCATTTTGGTGTTATTCATTTGTGCTTGTGTTATGGGAATGGTCTTCAATCCAAGGTTTCTTTGTAGGAATCGTTTAAGCCACTTGCCCCTATTGTGAATGTTGCATAGAAACTGTAATGTCCCACAATACTGCTGTCAACACTGCTGTGTTTTGGGACCCTCATTCTTTCCTCACAGTTCCTTCCATACCGTATGTGGCCTCTTATGCTGTGACGTAGGATAAAATGAGGGCACCAATGTCAACTTGTATATTAAATATTAATAGATTCATTTCTTTCTGGCTTTTTTTTGGTGATAAAAAATGTAAACAAAAGTCCTGGTACTTTTTTCCATGCTGCAAGGCTCATCTTGGATTCAATCCACTTTGGAGACCCTTGTTTTATAATGGAGATTGGCAAAGTACTGCCTGTTTTTTATAAATGCAGTGTTATTAGAACACGGCCACACTCATTTGTTCACATATTATCTTTGGCCGCTTTTGTGCTACAATGGCAGTGTTGAGCAGTTGCAACAGAGACGGTATGAATTTCAAAGCTTGAACTATTTACTATCTGGCCCCTTACAGAAAAAGGTTGCCACCTCTGCTTTAGAAAATGGATAGAGCTTGAGGGGTCCCAGGTGTCTAGGATACAGGATGCTCTCAATTCATTTACTCACTCAGACAGGGGCAACATGAAGGATGAAAGTCACCCGTGGACTTCTGAGAGAATATATTTCTGTGTCTGCCCCTGGCAGTGTAATTCTGGCTGAGGCTCAGGGCCTGGCTTTGATTCACCCAAACAGACTGTATCCTAGAACTCAGTTACAACTTGATCTTTAAGGGAACAACAGCGGTCTGGCAATGCAAGTAACTGGGTGTATCTGAGCCGTGGCATCTTATCTGCTGTGTTTGATTGGAAGCATTTAGCCTTTCTTTCTACCCATATGTATCTCAAATGATAATCCAAAGGCTTCTGCTCCTTTCTTGTCTTAGTGCCTTAGTCCTTGATTCTTCTAGTCCTTAGATCTCTCTTCTCCCAGGTCTTGGCTTGGTTGGCGCCTTCTGATCCAAGCTCAGCTTAAAAGCCACCTCTTTAGAGAGGCCTTTTCTGAACACCCAATCGAAGGTGGCCCTACTGACATCCCCCATTACTCTGTTATTGTTCTGAGCTAATTTTTTCATTATACTTATCAAACATCTGAAGTGATATTTATGCTTATTTATTGTCTTCTAGACAACAAACTGTGAGAATGCAAGAACCGGAAGAGAAAGGACCTTGTCTGTCTTATTTCTTAATTTTGTCTCCAGGGTTTAGAACAGTGCCTGACCCAAAGTTTGACTATTTGAGAATGGACAGGAGAGATGCTCGATATTGTTTTGTTTCTGGCTATAGAATGAGTGTTGCCTCATGGCTCATAGATCACGCAGTTGGCTGGTTAAAGGTTCAGGTCCTGATAAAACATGTTGCTCTGGATTCAGTAGCAGTGTCCATTAGAGCAGAGTTTAATCCATCCAATGATTTTTTAGAAAATCATACTGGCAGTGTGTTTGTTTATTTCTAGAATTCCTATTCCGTTTTTGTTGTATTGCTGCCTCTTCCTTTCCCCTCCCCCAACCTCCTTACTTTTCTCTTCCTTCGTTATGGTTTATAGACAATCTTTTATATCGTTGGTAGGAATATTTGCTTTGCATTCTCTCAGATTATTCTATTGTCTATGTCTCTTGGAGAACAATTTTTTCCACTTGCTGCCTCTGCTCGCTATTCCATGGTGACACGTTTCCCTGTGTTTGTCACCTTTGAGTGTGAGCTCATCTTCGACAGGGATTGTTCTCTGGGGTGACACAGGGTCCTGATCGTGCTCTCATCCATAGTCGTGTTTTCCACTGCGCTGCTGGGGCCTAAAGGGTTTCAGTGGTTCTGTACCAGTTTTTTTTTTTTTCCAATTTTTAATTGTGGTAAGATACACATAACATAAATTTTACCAATCTAACCATTTTTAAGTGTACAGCTCAGTAGTGTTGAGTATATTCATACTGTTGTCCTGCCAATCTCTGGGACTTTTTCATCTTGCAAAACTGAAACTCTATGCCTGTTAAACAGTGTCTCCCCTTTCCCCTCCCCCAGCCCCTGGCAACCACCATTCTGCTTTCTGTTTCTGTGGGCGTCACTACTCTAGATAGCTCATATAAGTGGAATCATGCAGTATTTGTCTTTTCGTGATTGGCTTATTTCACTTAGCATAACGTCCTCCAGGTTCACCCCTATTGTAACATGTGTCAGAGTTTCCTTCCTTCTTCAGGCTGAATAACATTCCTTGTGTGAATATATACCACATTTTGTTTATCCCTTCACCCATTGATGGACATTTGGGTTGCTTCCGCGTTTTGGCTATTTTCAATAATGCTGCCATGAACCTGCGTGCACAAATACCTCTTTGAGACCCTCTTGTCAATGCTTTAGGGTAAATACCAAGCAATGGAATTGCTGTACCAGTGTTTGTGTTAATATCTTGGTTGGGATTCTCTCACCACGAAGATAGTGCAGATTTGTACAGAAGGCACCCTGGTTCCAACTTCCTCTGGGTAACTTTTTCTACTGATTGCTCTAAGTTGATGGCAATCTTCCTTGGTGAATCCCTAAACCAATGCACTGACTTTCTAAACTCAGTGTCACAGTCCAGGGGAAGCTTCACGGCTCCCAGTTTTATACAGGAGCTTAGTTTCGGCTCCTATCTTGCGCAGGTCTAAGGTTTTGTCTCCCGTCCCTGTGCAGGCATAAAAACTCAAGTCCCCAGCCTAGTGGCTGTATCTGTTTACAATACCCCTGTCATCTCTTTGACGTCACTCACACTCACTCCTTTTTCTTTGAGTTGTTCTTCACTTCTGACATCTGGGGATTTCCTTTCCTTGCTTTTGCATTTGGCTATGCAATAAAAAAATAGTTTATCTGGCATTTCCATGTGTTTGGAGTGTGCGTGTGTGTGTCCTTTCAGGTTTGCTTGGCCTGTGTTGCCAATAGATACTTATTCATTCAATATTTTTTGAGCATTTATGGCTTGCACAATGATAAGCCTAAAATGATTAAATAGTAAATCTTCTGAACTCCTGCACCTAGGGAAGACATTTAATCATAATACACAAAATGGCAAGATATAGATGTTGCTGTCCATTCAGGACAGTGGAATCCATTTTTAGGTTGGACCCCAAATGGAAAGGTTCTCTTCCTGCCAAACCTGCAGAATCAGCTCCTCCTCAGGCTGCACTGTTGTGGAAAAGCCAGGGGCAGAGCCCAGAGATGGTGGACCAGAAGTCTGAGCACTGAGGGCCCAGAACAGGCCTGGAGGACCACAAACTGGATGGAAGGGAAGCCGTCCTGTATCAATAAGTAGTAACAGGCAGGCATTTTGATGATATGTATTGAGGGATAGCCCAGGCTGTGCAGAGCTGGCATTGTTAGTCAGTATTTAAATATACCTCTAGCCAGCACATCTGCAAAGACCAAGAATGTTCTGTAAATAGGAATAAGGACAATGAGACAAGGAAGAGCCTATCCCTGAACAACTCGACATGGGAAAGGAACTAGAGGATTAGCAGGATTTGGAAAATGCAAGGAAAAGGGAAATGTGGACCAGGCCAGGAGAGACCTTCTTATTATTGTCATTGTTATTGTTATTATTAACATTACCTATATTGGTTAAAGGTTTTCAACAATCCCTTATTGAGGAGTGATCAGAAGTTTATATGGAGCACCATTAGAAGTGTTTCTAGTTTGCTGTATATAATGTCACCTAAATTAACTGAAGAGTCAAATATACATGATACTCATTTTTTATTTTCACTTTATTCATCCACAATTTATGTTTTTGTGCAGTTTATAAAGTTCTCAATTAAAGAGCACTTTTAGGTACTGTGGTAGGTAGGTATGTAAACTAAGAGAGTCTTCCCCAACTTAGTAGGCTAAGTTCTTATTTTATTTAATTAGTTAATTTTTTTTGAGGAAGATTAGCCCTGAGCTAACACCCACTACCAATCCTCCTCTTTTTGTTTTTTTTTAGGAAGATTAGTCCTGAGCTAACATCTGCTGCCAATCCTCCTCTTTTTGCTGAGGAAGACTGGCCCTGAGCTAACATCTGTGCCCAGCTTCCTCCACTTTATATGTGGGACACCTACCACAGCATAGCCTGCCAAGCGGTGCCACGTCCGCACCCGGGATCTGAACTGGTGGACCCTGGGCCACCAAAGCAGGACGTGCGCACTTAACTGCTGCACCATTGGGCAGTCCCCCCAATCCTCCTCTTTTTCTGAGGAAGATTGGCCCTGAGTTAACATCTGTACCCATCTTCCTCTACTTTATATGTGGGACTGCTGCCAAAGCATGGCTTGATGAGCCGTGCATAGGTCCGTACCCAGAATCTGAACCAGTGAACACCAGGCCGCTGAAGCAGAATATACAAACTTAACCTGTGGAACTGGGCTGGCCCCAGTAGGCTAAGTTCTGATGCTCAGAGTGCACAAAACCTGGAAAGAAAGGATTCCATAGACCATTGTTCAACAAGCGTGCTTCTGTCTAATTACTAATAATTAGTATATATAATAATAATTCACCCAGCAACCCAGTGAGTTGGTATCATCATTATCCCATTTTTCTCAGATAAAGAAACTGAAGCTTAGAGAGATTAAGAGATTTACCTAAGATCATACCAGTAAATGGAGGAGAGGAATTGGTCACAGAAGAATAAGTAGGATTTTTTTTCTAAGAGCTTTTATCATGAATGAGTATGGATTTTTTTCAAATGCTTTTTCTGAATTCATTGATAAGATTATGGGACTTTTCTTCTTTCATTTGTTAATATGGTGGATTATATTGATTGATTTTTTGAACATTGAACCAGTCTTGCATTCCTAAGATAAACCCCACTTAGTTGTGGTATATAGTATTTTTTATATGTTGTTGAATTTTGTTAAGGATTTTTGCATCTATATTCATGAAGGATGTTAATCTATGTTTTTTTTTTTTTAATATTGTCTTTTTCTCTTTTTGGTTTTAGGGTAATAATAGTTTCATAAAATAAATTGGGAAGTGTTCTCTTCAATTTTCTGGAAGAGATTATGTAAAATTGGTGTTAATTCTTATTTAAATGCTTCGTACAATTCTCCAGTGAAACCATCTGGGCCTAGAGATTTCTTTTTGGGGAATTAAAAAATTATGAATAGTTTATAGGGCTATGCAAATTATCACCTAATGTTGGGTGAGTTGTGGTAGTTTGTATTTTTTGAGGAAGTGGTCCATTTGCTCTAAGCTGTTAAATTTCTTTATTCCTTTGTTATCTTTATTGAGGCTGTCTGTTTTCCATTTGTTTCAAGCATGATTTTACTTGCTTGTTGAAGCACTTTTATTGTGACTGCTTTAAAATCGTTGTCAGATCATTCTAACGTCTCCGTCATCTTGGTGTTGGCATTTATTGATTGTCTGTTTTCATCCAGTTCGAGATCATCCTGGCTTTTGGGGTGATGAGTTACTTTCAGTTGAAACTGGACATTTTCATATGATGCTGTGGGACTCTGGATCTTTTGTAAACCTTCTGTTTTTGCTGGCTTTCTTTGCCACTGCTGTGGCAGGGAAAGGGGGGCCGTTGACTCAATGCTGCTGAGTGGGGTGGGAGTTTTAGCTCCCTACATTGTCTCCACTGACACAACAGGATGGGAGAAGGGGTGGGGGCGTCGATTGTCACCTGGGAGGGATGAATGTCTTGACTCCTTATTTGGTCTTCTGTGATACTACCTGTTGGGAGGGTTGGGGTTCCTTGTTACAGCTTCACAAGGGTGGTCGTCTAGGCTCCTACTTCACCTTTGCCGCTGTGGGTGGGGCCAGTTTTTTCTGTGGGGTTTGGCTGGAGTAGAGCACTTATGGTCCAAGTGTTTTCTGTCTTGCTCAGCTGCCCGTTTCCTGGTCTGTTGGTTAGAGAGTCTAGGTTTTTGTTAGGACTTTTTTTGTCTGTACCCTATGGGTATTTCAGGGTTGCCAACTTCTCCACTTCCAAATCTGGGATATATGAGACCAAAGGAAAGCCCAGGGAACTCACCCCTGTGTGGATCAAGTCTCAAGGTCCCTAGCTGGCCTGCCTCCTTCTCTCCACTTCTCAGAGTCTTCTAATGTTTGACTCATATATAAATGTAAGTGTACATAAATATATATGTACACACATACACTGTTGTCCAGGGTGTTTAGTTTCAATTAGTGGGAGGAACAGGAAAGCTACTTCTACTCCATCTTCCAGGTGGGTGATTTTTTTTGCTGAGGAAGATTGGCCCTGAGCTAACATCCATTGCCAAACTTCCCTCTTTTGCTTGAGGAAGATTGTCACTGAGCTAACATCTGTGCCAATCTTCCTCTAATTTGTATGTGGCATGCCACGACAGCATGGCTTGATAAGCCGTGTGTAGGTCCATGCCTAGAATCCCAACCCGTGAACCCTGGGGCCGTCAAAGCAGAGCATCTGAACTTAACCACTACGCCACCGGGCTGGCCCCTGGATGATTTTTTTTTTAAGATTAAACTTGTGTTATTTGCCTCTGATTATTAAAATACTATACATTTATTAAAATTCTGATAATATAGAAAAGCTGAAATTGAAAGCAATAATTGGGCTGAGTAAGATTGCAAATTGTGGCGAAAGAAGAGAACATGGTTCAGGCAAGGATACAGGATTTGCAGAGCTTCTTTTCATTTCACTACAACTTTAGACACTTTCTGTCGATGTTTTTCCCTGTAACTAAATTTTTCAATTTTCAAAAGAAAGATGAATACAGATGGACTTTGCTTTAAGAAAACCCGAGCCCGGCAGAATTGGATTTACAAAGTGGATCTATCAGGAGGTGACTGAGTTTTACTCTGAACTGCACAAAACTTCTCAGGAATTCATGTGTTGTATAAAGTCAACTTGAAATATTTTCACTTGATAACGACTTGGAGATTCTTGGGATAAATATAATTCACACCAATAAGGACAGTAAACCCTTGTTTAGAAAGTGCTCTGCTGTTGTAGATTATGTTACATTGGATTGTTGATCCAATCATTTCCCAGATACACCCTGGATATACAACTTGAATAAAACAGCCTATGAAGCAAATATTATTCGTGCATTCTGACACCAGTGTCATAGTAGGGTTCTCCTGAATTATTAGTAAAAAACATTTTCGATGAGATTGCTAGCCCTGGATGCAAGCTATAGTGAGACACTGATGTTTTTCACATTTGCATCATCACGCTGAGGGTTACTGTAATGGCATTCTCACGTCACACAACATTGGGGCCAAAATGAGTTTTTCCTAAAAGAGGCCTTCTTCACGAGGTAGCCCCAGCCGTTTCACACTGTTTCTTTCAAGCCTCTGTTTCAGCAGACATTTGCCTCTCTTGTTTTATCTGCCTGCAAGAAATAACTACAACCCACATTGTGAATTACAATTTTAACTATATTGGAAAGTGGGTATTTAAAAACCAGAATATATGTTTTGGATAGGCAAGCTTAAAATGGGGAAGAGCAGACAGCCCAGTCATCAAAGGATAAAAATCTATACTAATCTTAAAAGCAAAACACGGCACAGAATTTCTTGTCTATTTTTCTACAAAAGAAGGCCATTGTACTTCCATTCCTGGCCATGTCAGCGGTGATGGGCGCCCCCCCAACCCTTCTTTTTTCCGAGCATTGATTGTTGACTTCCCCTGACACCCCATCACAACCCATTAGTACTGAAAACCGACAGGCCCAGCAACAACAGCAAAAAGGCAAGTTTGAAAGAAAATATCGAAAGCACGGGCAGAGCTCGGCTGTTAGGATCCACACCAGCCCCAGATGCAACAACTCCTTCTCCTCGCCCCCACGGCACCTCTGTGAAGGGCAGCCAAATCAGCAGATTTTCTTTAATCCAGACTCCAAGGTCTGGAGGAAATGACGAGGAGTATCGCTGTATTTTTCCTTTCATTTTCAAAGGAATTTGGGTTGAGGAATATGAAAACAGAGTTGGCTAAAGTGCTTTTGCTGATAACGCTAATATCCGTTAGGTCTCTTTTCAGACCCAAGTGTTTCGGATGTTAGTGGCTCCGCAGTCCTGGGCTCCTGAAGGCCACACTCGAAACCCTGGCAGCTTCTTAAGTGAGGAGTCTTTTTCTTCTGTTTTTTATTTGGCAGCGTTATCTGGTGTCTGTGTCCCCAGAGTCACAGTAATGGCATTAGCAAGCATTGACTGTGGTTGTACAGTTGATTGCCCAGGGGAGAAAAGTGACAACTCTAGATTTCCAATAGACCTTGTATTTGCAGAGAGAGAAGTTCAGGTGAGGGCAGCCAACTTGTCAAAATCTTAAGAGCCAGCACACAAGTTGAATCTAACTTTAGATGAAAGCCTGGATGCAAGTTTTGTATAGAGAGATGGGGGACCCGAACAAACAGTGGTCCTCACCCATCTAAGTAAAAAACCTAGCTGCAAATGGTCATTGAATCAAGAGTGGGTAAGAACAAAGAGCCAAACCAGAAAGCAGCATGGAGCTGGAGTTGGTGTATCGTTACCCTCCGTGGAGGGCGGAGAGGAGGCAGGGATCAAGGTGGGCTAACAGCAATTATGATCCAGCTCAGGAACCGGCGCTGGAAACACGGGATTTAGCACCATTCTTGCCAGGTGTAGACAGCTTTAGGAAGGAAAACAAGAACAGGTCCCTCCAGTGAGTTTTATGGCCGCCTCCACCATCAAGCCTGGGTGTGCTTGTGGGGTGCTCATTCTCCTCTTCACCTCGCATCATGTTTTGTGACCTACCTTGCTGCTGATGTGTTTCTTGCTAGTCTGGACCCCTAGGAGAGGTCTGGGAAGTCTGGCGTGTCGGCCACCTCTGAAGTCCTATGGCTCAGACAGACCTACTCTCCCGCCGCCCTGACAGCTAGTGGCCTAGGACGACTCCCAGGTTTCCCCCAAGGCCTCCAGACTCTCTCCCTCTGGAAAGACGCCTGCCCTGGCAGAGGAAGGGCCCTTGGGAAATCCCAGTGCCTCTAGGCTTTGGGGCCTCCTGTTCTCAGCTCCTCCCAACCTTGCTTCATCCGACAGGCTGGATACTGGGCCCCGTCAGAGGGTGCTCTTTAGTGAGGCCGTGCAACCTGTAGATGTCAGGCCTGACTTGGCCACAGAGCTGCTGCCTGGGGCCTGTTCTAGCATCCAGCCCGCTAAACCTGGGAGTTGCAGCTTCAGCTTTGCATTCAGCTCTGAATCAGTCCTTTTCATCTGCTGAGGGGACCTGGCCTTGCGTTGTCCTTGGTCGTCAAATTACGGCCTCATGCCTGGTCACAGAGACCCAATCGGTGCCTCAGGGCCGAGGTTCCTGTCTTGACTGCAGCGTCTGCGGACTCAGCCTCCTCTGCCTGGTTCTGGGCCAGCTCCCTCCCTGCCATCTCCTTCCTGGACACCTGTGGGCGTGCTGGAGCTCCCTGCTTCACCTGTTCTCCTCTGACTAAGGTCAACCTTTGCGTTTGGTCTGGGTTTGGATCCTTGGCTGAAGGCATGTAGGCATCTTTGAGTAAAGACAGCTTTAGAAGAAGTATGTTAAGAAATGGGCCCAATGGTGTGAATGTTTATGCATTTTGATGTGTGCAAAAGCAGAGAGGAGCAGATTAGAAGAGGAAAGAAGGGGATTAAAAATTATTTCAAATAATAAACCAACAGAACCTGGTACAGCATTTTCCCTAACTCCGAGTTAATAAAAAAAACCTTCACCTGATCCTGGCAAATCTTTGTTTAGCAGACTTGGGTGGGGCTTTCCACAGCAAGGTTTCTCTGCTTACCTGGGGACATGTCATAGACTTCTAAAACCATTAGAGTTGGAAGTGCTTTAATTTTGAGAGTTCCTCTAGGCACTTATTAAGTAGACTCATGGGTAGTACTCGTAAACCTACTAAACAAAATTTGAGAGAAACACAGTGTCTTGAAATTTGGAAATGCTGCAGAGATTGACTGGCACCATCAGCTAGAAATGCATCACCTGAGAAGCCAGGGCCAGCATTACATACAGAGACAATGATGCTTAATTATTTGTAATAAACTAGGACCAAATCAAGAAGTCTAACAGCCCCAGCCTGAGCACTGGGCACATTATTATTTCCTGTCTCTACCCAGCAACCTACCTCAAACTGGATAAGTCACCATAAAAGACACCTCTTAGCAAAGTGACCCTGGTTCGGCAGCGCTTTGCTGCAGGCTGCGTTTGGCTTCCCAGCTGGAGCTGGGTCCTCTTTACCCTGTGAGGTCACTGTCCCCTGCACGGTGCCAGGTGATTTTTCATTATGCGGTAAAACACTTCCCAGCAGGCTGTTTTCATTACAGTGATGGGAGAGTCTCTTGATTTGTTTTTATCATGTCATGGCCCACAAACCTTGAAAGGACCCAACTGCCGCCCACGTCACTCTAAAGCTCTTTTGTGAACGTGAGCCTTCGCCCCGCCTCACCACTGCCCTCCTGGGGCCCAGGACCCCCCTCATCTGCTCCACACCATTCCCGCCATGATTCCCCACCAGTCTCACTGTCTATCATTCGTTGCCGTTGCAATAATAATGAGAGCTACAACTATTGAGTGCCTACCATATGCCGGGCTATTAAATCCTGGAAATAAAACCGTGAGGTGGTTACTGCAGAAAGTTCTAGTACTGTGTGCAAGGACATGCCCAGTGCGCGGTGGAGCCAGGATTTGAGTCCAGGGGTCTCCCAACCCATAACACGTAACCATCTCCCTCTACTGCCTTTCCACACATAAGAAAACATACTGTCTTTCTTGGTCCTTTTCTCAGGAGAGTGCGCCATCTCCACGACACGGCTCAAACTCTACCTATAATCGGACTCATTTGCCCCTTATCCTCCCTGAATACTTAGCATTTCAGTTTCTGTGAACAGAATTTAATGCCTATTGCTTTATCGTTGGGAGTATGAAGTGATGACTGTTTCCAATCAACCACATAGCATTCATCTTTAAAAGCTCGTTATGTGATACGTCATAGGTTTGGTTTGTGGTTTATAAGCCAAATCGTGGCTGGTAAAATTTTCAAATGGGCATATCCATTGCAAGATTTAATGGATTTCAAAACAAGTTTGCACATGACCAGAGATCATGGAAATATATAATTATATTGAAGTTTACAGATCAAAAATCATCTACACTTGTGGTTAATTGTATATATGAGTTATTTGTATATAAATATACACTTATATAATAAGTACATCTATATCTATACAGATATCTCCATATATACATAATTTGGCCATTTGTTTTTTATGTGCATGACTTCTCTCCACTCCTACACCCTTGACTGAATTACCTCAAGCCTGAGCCCTATTATCGTTTGGACCTGAAGCACAATGAAGATGACATTTCAACCTGCAAAAGAGAGATCTCCAGTGTATAACAGATATCAACATGGACTCTTCTGAAGCTGGTTTATACACTTACTGAGCATAATTAGCTATTTTGATTTGATTTGCGAAATAACTGTTTTCGCAAAGTTGTAAGTAAATACAATCTTATTTAAAATGCACTGGAAGGAAAGACAAATGGCTAATTAACATATGAAAAATGTTCAAACTTACGAGTATCAAAGAAATGTAAATTAAAAGAACTCTGAGACTTTTTTATCTATCCAATTGGCAAGTGTAAATAGTATTACACTCAGAGTTTGAGAGGATGAACATTTGTTGGGAGAGATCTTTGGCAATATGTATATATGTTTAAAAAATGTTCATATCTTTGTCTCAGTAATCCTGTTTCTAGGACTTTATCCTAAGGAAATATTGAAATATTTATGATGCAACATCATGTGTAGTAGCTACAAATTAAAAACAACAAAATGTCCATAATGGAGGAGTAGGGGAATTATGATAGCTCTCTATAATATGCATGATATATAGACATACATAATGGAATATTACTTATATATTTTATATGTTTAATAAACATTATATATTTTATAAACATTATATATATAAAGACGTGCGAAAATGCTCATATAATATATTAAATGAAAAAAATGCAAGTTATAACCCTGTGTGTTACGTTAGTCCCACAATCTTAGAAAAAAGACTAGAAAGAAATGTATCAAAACATTAACAGTTGTGGTGGGTTAATGTTGATTTTTGTTTTTATAGTTTTTTGCGTTTCCATGTTTTTACAAGAGAAAGCCTATTTGTCAGAATCCCAAATACAACAGTACAACAATTAAAAAGTGCGTCTGGATGGACTTCAAGCAAGATGTCAAAGTGAGTAGATTTGGAAACTTCTCTTCTGTTCCACACATACAGGAATTAGGAACGACTTATAAACAAAAGTTAGAACTGCAGCGCTGTGCTAAAGGAAGGGAGCAAACCTCCCAGGACCAGTGGGGAGCAGAGTCCCAAAGCTGTGAGCTTGGCTGAGTCTGCAGGCCTGTGGGAGGTGGGGCTGAAGGAACCGAATTTGGGATGAAGGATTTCAAAGTGGGAGAGGATCAGGGGTGGGGGAGTGGAGAGTCTTGCTTAAGGCTCCTGTCACGAAGCCAGTGCTGAGCATGTGCTTCCGTGGCTGCGACTGGAAGCTGAGAAAATTCCCAGCAACTCATCTGGAGTTTCAGGAGGTGACAAGCTGCTCACCTGTGGCAAGTGGTGGAAGCAAGGCACCTGCGTGGCTGGGGGGTGGACCGAGTTCTGTCCTGGCTTGGGGTGGGGAACAACAAAGACTCAGCAGAGTGAGGCCGTACTTCTGAGCTGCAGATCCCCTAGGAGCTGGGCTGAGGCATCGCACCACCATGGGGAGGGGAAATCCTCCTCTGCTGGTTTGGAATGACGTTAGCAGCAGGTTATTGTGCCCTAAACCATAGAGACAGTTGCTATTTTTCTTAATAGTAAGAATTGGAGGCAGGCACTCTCAGGATGGTCTGGCAGCTCAACAATGCCATCAAGGATCCAACCTCTCTCTTTCTCCTTTCTGCTGAGCTTGTTGTTTGTTGCCTTATGGTTGTAAGATGGCTGCTGCTGCTCCAGATATCACAATTCCTGTCTTCTCAGAAGCTCCAAAGCAGAATCTCCAGTATATCTTGTTAGGCAGAACTGGATCACATGGCCTTCCTTGGCTCCAGGGGAGGCTAGGAGATTGAATGTCTGGCAAAGGGAAACAAATAGTCACAACTGACATAGACCAGTCAGATCTGTTGGCTGGACACACTGCTACTCAAGATAAAACTGAGTTTTATTAGCAAAGAGGTGGGGAGGGAATGGCTGTTAGGAAGACAACTCTTATGCAGTATGAATTCTCAAACAAAATCAGAAGAACACATACCTGGGAAGCCATAAATAATAGAGGAATCTGAAGATTACTTTAAAATAAATACATTTATAGTCTTGAATAAAATAAAACAACTACAAAACATGAATTAAGTAGGCAATTATGTCAAAAATAGATGGATGAAATAAAAATGAGTCAGAAATCTTGGAAATGAAAAATACAGTCCTTGAAATAAAAAAAGCAACCCCTGTAAGGGAAATATTGAACTGGATAGAGTTGAGGAAAGTGAGATGGAAGTCAGAACTTTGCAAGTTACCTGGAACACAACATTGAGAGATAAAGGAAAGTGAAATAGGCAAGGAATTGAAGATGCACATGGAGGGTAAGTTGGGAAATTATAAGTTGTCTAAATAGATATTCTTAAAAGACTATAGCCTTTATAGCAAGAATGGAGAGAAAAATATTTGAAAAGATAGTGACTAAGACTTTTCTAGAATTAAAGGTAGACATGAATCCTGGGATGAAAAGGGCATCTTAATTGTTAAGGAGAGAAAAATCTCACACCTAGATACATCTTCGTGAAACTACAAAGTGGTAAGAATAAAGAAATAAATGAAAAGGTATCAGAGAGAAACACAGATTACTTACAAAGGAACAGCAGTCAATCAGACTAATAGCAGATTTTTCATCAGCAACATGAGATACTAGATGATGGAATAATATCTTAAAAGTGCTGAGGGAAAATAACTGCCAGGCTAGATTTCTACACCTGGCTAAAATCATCTTTTTGGAATTGGTGTAAAATACATACAAACAAAAACAAAAATAAACAAAACAAAATAGAAAAGCTAAAACTATAAAACTAGAAGAAAATATAGGATAACATCTTTTTGACCTTAGGAAAGACAAAAATTTCTCAGATAGGATACAAATAAGCATGAACATAAAAGAAAAAGATTGATAAATTGAACTTCATCAAAATTAAAAACTTTTGCTCTCCAAAAGAAACCATTAAGAAAAAGAAAAGCTAGAGAATGGAAGAAAATCTTTGCTACACATGTATCTGACAAAGGGTTTGTATCCAGAATATATAAAGAGCTCTTACAATTCAATAATAAAAAGACAAGCAACCTAATACAAAATAGAAAAAATATTTGAGCAAGCACTTTTCAAAGGAATATAAATGAATGACCAATAAACACATGAAAAGATGCTTATTATGATCAGTCACCAGGGAAATGCAAAAACAAAAAACAAACAAACTAACCACGAGAAGACACTATTTAGTCACAAAAGAGCTAGAATTAGAAAAACTGACAATACCAAGTGTTGGCCAGGACGTAGAGCAAGTAGAACTCTCACAAACTGCTGTTGAGAATATAAAATGGTACAACCACTTTGGAATCTGTTTGGCAATTTCTTAACAAATTTAAACATATACCTACCATATGATACAGGCATTCCACTCTTAGGTATTTACCCAAAAGAAGTGAAAACACAAGTCCATATTAACGTTTATACAAAAATGTTCATAGCTGCTTTAATCACAATAGCCCAAACCTAGAAATAACCCAAAATGTTCATCAACTGGTAAATAGATAGACAATATGTGGTATATCCAATCTGTGGATTATCCACTCAGCAGTAGGAAGGAACAAACCGCTGAAGCATACAGTAACATGGATACATCTTTACATCAAGCTGGATGAAAGAAGTCAGATACAAAGGAGTATGTACTGTATTTTTCCATTTATATAAACTGTAAAATAATCTATAGTGCTAACGAAGCATATCTGTGGTTGCCTGGGGCTCGGGCAGAGGGAGGCATGGACTGGAGAGGGCCATAGTCTTTTGAGGATGATGAAAATGTCTGTATCTTGATTATAGTGGAGGTGTTGTGAGTATTTACATGTAATGAAACTCATCTAAATGGATGAAGTTTATTGTATGCAAATTTTTCCTAAATAAATGTGCTAAGGAAAAAAAATGATGCTTTTAGACATACAAAGATAAAAAGAATTTAAATTTGAAGCCTTGATAAAAGAACTTGTAAAATAATTTCGATGAAAGAGAACAAATGAACCCAAAAAGGAAGACTATATTGTAAGGAATTTAGTGCTTCAATGAAAAAAAAAATACTTTGAGGATTTCACAGTCCTGGGTGAATCTCTGTGTACCACGATCAACTAGTAAAATTCAATTGTTCTAACTTAAAACATTTTTTATTATAACAAGTTCAAATGCACAAAAATAGAATTATTGGTATAAAGAACTCCCATATATCTAGAAAAATCCATTCGTTGATACATTGAGCTTGCCAAATTAGGAAATATCTGTATTTGTTAATCATTACATTCTTTGATTTAAAAAGGTTATTTCCTCTATGTTCCCTCAAAATGATTCAGCTAAAAAGTCATTTTGCATATTTACAATATTTAAGGAATATGAAAGATAATTAAAAGATCAAGAATGCACAATGATATTAGGTTCAAGACCTCAGCTCATATTACAAATATCTTGTAATCGCAGAAGACTTCCCTATTGCGTGCACCTTTCAAATAAAGGTTTCTTGGACACTGATTTTATTTTTCAAATATATATTTCACAACTTAAACTCTTATGTCAATTAACTCAAAGTCTGTGTTTATGGAGCAACTACCATTTGCAAGACATTGAACTCAATAGACTTGGCAATAAAACATTTGAATAAGGCTCAGTCTTAACCTTAGAGGAGCTTATATTTCTGCAAGAACTCTGCTCCATTAGTCGATTTCCTGCCATATTGCTGGAGAAATGGGATGAAGATTGTTCCTCCTCTTTTATTCAAAGTTAAGCAGAGATGGTGACGTCTCTGCATTGGCTTTCACCTAAGACTCACACATGCTGGCTTGGACTACTCCGTTTTTCTCAGGCTGGACTCCTAAACCCCATTTCCTAAAACATTTTTTTGTTTTAAGGGAGTCAGAGGAGGGTAAACAGTATTCTATCATTCTTGGCACACACGCTGTCTCATTCCTGAAAATTTATGAGTAAATGCACAATACCTCGTGGGTGAGCAATTGTTGTCCTTATAGCAATTTGTGGTGAAATAATGTCATAAATCACGAGGGACTGGCCAGTGCGCCAAATAAAATATCCGTGACTTCAAACTACAAATGTGTCATGTGTTAAGATGTGTCTTGTTGATTTCAATCACAGAATGTTAGAACTGTAAGGAAACCAGGAGGAAAAAAAGTTTTATCACCTCCAGTCTGCCATATTCACTATAAATTGGTAATAAACACACCTAAGTCACTTCATTACAATGTGATAGATTGTAACAGCAACTCTGAAGGTCCATTATATAAATCATCTAAATAGAGACTCAGACAATTTGAAAAATTCCCATTAATTACCAGAAATTCAGTAACAACAACACCAATGAAGTTCGGTTTACCCTACACTTGTGAATATAGACACTTTCAAATGCAGATTATGACCTGATGGAGCACAGCAGCTCATTAGTCATGTCAAATCTTTTTATTTTTTAGTTTTGATGGGATGAGAATTGCTGAACTAATAGATTGTAATTGATCTCTTACAGTGAAGACGCTCCAGTGTCTTTAGCTCAATATACAGCCTGAGATTGTTTATGGTCTGTCCATATTTTCAGAAACGCCCAGAATTTATCACATAATGAATGAACACTTTTGGAGTACTGAGCTCTGTAAGGGGGGGTGCAAAAGGTAAAATATTTAGTCCCTTGCCTGGAAGGTTAGGAGGGATCCCCCCCCCCTCCTTTTTTTTTTTTTTTTTTCCGGTTTATGGAATATCTTAAAACAGAAACCAGGAATGACACATAGTACAGTCCTAATACTGATAAGGGATTTACAAGTAAGCGACCCTTTTCTAGTGCGGCCAGTTTGTTTTCTGCTTTTAAGAATCAGTGTCCCTACCATCTTCTGTGCCAAGGATGCTGAGCTGTTATGTTTTGTTTTGAGAATGCGAGACTGATGACTTC